CGACGACTCGTTTCCCCTGTAAATGTACTGAAAATATAGTAACCGCAAGTCATCTGGCATTTTTGACGAAGTAAAATTGTTGATTCTTTCATTTCTAACATCGTATTTGATGGTAGAAAGGGGTCAAATCAAATAATGATGATGATTTGAGATTGTACCTTACTAAAATTCCTCCATCTTATTAACAACATCAGGTACCATGCTACTTCTTAATTGATTCGCAATAAATTTGTTTGTAACTTGATGTTTTGTTGTAGTTTTTGGGGGCGATGATAACGTTAAAAGTACAGTATGGGGCGAAAAAAGTTTGAGAACCACTGGTCTAGTACATGATTTACAGTACTTAAATTATTCTGTCTGTACTCATGACATTTTCAATGTTCTTTCAACGCTGATATTTCAATGTTATTTACTATATCCCCTGCTGCCGGCCCACCCAGAAAAGTAATTGCCTACCCCTGCTAAGGAAATAGACTTATTAATAAATATTACAATATTTATGAATTGTGGTGCATCTTGGCAAGCACAGAAAAGAAAAACTATACGCCCAGTAAAATGTTTTAATTTATACAGTAAAATCAACATTAACTCGGATTTTTGACACGGCTAATCTTCGTTATGAATTCTGACTGTTTATCGTCAGCGTGACATCGACATCGTTGAGCTAAATTCCGCCACAATTACATCTCCCAACAGGTATTGACTGTTGTGCTACTGGGGGGAATTAATTTTTATTTTGCTTACAAAACTATGCGTTAGTTCAAAAAAACATTATGTTATAACGCGATCATTGTCATAATCAAATGAGGGGACCCGATTCACAAATTTCCATCCGACAATGAAGGAAAATTAAGACTGAATATCGTGTTTTATTTTTCTTCAAGCCAGCTCTGATTTAAATATTTCATGTCGGCTGTTATGCTTTTATTATTGCTTATAAATTAATACCGCAAGCTTGAAATGAACGATATCATTATCAACGACGCCATTTTAACAATAAAATCTGCGCTAGATACTAAATATTATTTAAAAGCTATTTCATGCGGGATAAATTGCAAGAATGCAAAAAATGCTCGGTCACTATCGAAACTAAGGATGAACACGATTAATTATGGCAAAATTTGATTTTATATTCATTGCCGCGGTAATCCTGACTATCTCTACTACGTTGAAATATACGATAATAATTGTAAAATATTTTCAATCAAAATCTTCCTCGACGTGTACTTCAAGTCGGTGCTGACCTAAATCCTTTCATGTTGGCACTAATTTATTGCGCGTCGCGAAGAGTGTCTTCGATTACGATAAAACATAAAATGAAATAATTGTAAAATGTTTTCAATCAAAACATGGACAATTTGAGACTCGCGATATCTGAATGAATTCTGATATTAAATTCGAATTGTACATCTCTTGACTAAATTCAGGTTGTATGACGTCATACTATCTGTTTCGAAGGTCGAAACAGTGTTTCGAAACGCCCAGCCCTACCCACAATTGTTACTAACTCATTTTAGGTCTTACACATATATATGATAAATATTTGAAAATTGATAGTTTCACCCAATATTTATGCCACCCATCCAAAAAAGCAATTGTATTTTTGCGCGAAGTATAAACTATATTTTGCACCAATATTACATAATATATGTTCGCCCGTTACCAACGACTAACATACCCCTGTTACTTTTCTGACAGATAAAGTTGAAATATAATATAATTTCCCATCTTGCCACAAAATCGCTTTTAAAATTTGGAAACGTTTTCTCAATTTAAGGTTATATACTCACACAAAAGAGGAGACAAATAAAATTATTGAAAAACGGGTATGCTAGTAAAACTGCGGAAAGTACTCAAATCAAATAGATAATATATTATTTTATACACTCCATATTATTAGATGTTCTTGTAAACTTGATATACGCCGTTATCCTTCATTCCATGCATGTAGTATATTTTTTTAATATTATTTTGGCAATGTACACCTTGTTGAAAATTTGCAATACGGATATTTTAATATCATGACATGCCTACCGGCGGTGTGGCGCATCGTGCTAAGCGTTAGGTAAACGCTCGCCACCGCATCTCGATTACCCTTCGTGGGTTCGCAGGTTCAAATCCCACGCCGGGATGATCATGTGCGAGTGGATTACTGGACTCCTCGCCGCCGCAGGGTGGTTCACGTAACCGCTTGTCGGTTACGGCTTCCTCAACCATCAAGTCCATGCTTCCGAAAACAAATAACTGGCTAACTAATCCCATACCCCCGGGATGAATATGTAAAATGTCAGTTTGTTAAAATAGGTTCTGTGCAAGTAGCGATACTTACATCAGGAATTTTTGTAATAAAATGTGTATCTTTTTGTTTAATATTTTGGTCTTATTGGGTGTTGATTTATCGAGTGAAGTTGGATGACTTTAACCTTAACTTCGTATATGCTGACCATACCGCCGAACCGAGTTATCTGAGAAACATCTGCGGATAATTAATTTTTCAGAAGAATGTTCATTCGTTTTGCCGCTGCGAAAGTTTGGTCCGAATTATTGAGCATCATTTTTTTATTTAATTGTTTAACGATCGCAGGTTTAAATCCTCTTAGTTAGGATCATACAGCGATAGAACTCTGGAAACAAAATGGCTGGTGTGACGTCACACGAGCGCTCATAACGTTACCAATGCATGTCCTCACTTAGTTTATAGTCACTTTGACTGTTATAGTCACTTTCAGACTTTGGTTGGCGTGCGATGTGATTGTTGGTACCGGTACAGTGTGGTTGGTCATGAGTGTCTGTGGGAGTGCCTCTGGTTTCCGATGGGTTATCAGGGATGTTTGTTTGTGACTGCGGAATGGGGATTTGTTGGGTGTTTTTTATGCTAGACACAGACAGTAGGCTGATAATATTGTTTCAGTACAGTTATTTTAGCATTGTATTTTTGGTTGTTGTCAGGGAATTAGCTATCATCAGTACTGTTCAAAGTGTTATTATTGTGTAGTCTATATTCTGTTTTCTTGCGTTGTGCTGCCTGGTACTTGTCGCTTTATTGTATGCTTGTTGTTTTGTTTGGAGTATTTGGTTGTGTTGAGATTGATAATTAATAAATGAAATAGTATCCTATACATTGAAGTGAATATTGAGAGGAAAGTTGACGTCAGATCATATTGGAAGATATTCTGAACTTGGATAATTATTTCATAGACTGTCGGGACGCTACATTTCAGCATTTTCATACCGACCTTACAATTTCAGGGTGGTACCTATCGTTCACCACATTTCTTTTTTGCTGACAGTTTTAGTTCTGTAGTTGCTCAATCAAAAATATTCATTGATATGGCTGTATGGTGTAAGTTGATTCTGATTTTTGAGATAAATCATCACCCATTAGTCAATTTATATTCTTGCTTACTGCTACACAGCATAAATCCTCACACTGCAACTTTTTTATGATCCTTTCCTTCCTGAAAATATACATATTACTGTATTAGGGTACATAATATCTTGATCTCTTATCAAATTTACATTCCTTGACAAATCATTACTGTATTGGCTACCTAAGACATTCACAACTCGATCTTACTACTTACTGAATACAGCGCGAAACCGGTCTTACTACTTACTGAATACAGCGCAAAACAGAGGGAAACAGCGCAAAACAGTGGGGAAAGAGCGCAAAACAGAGGGAAACAGTGTGAAGCAGAAAAAAATTTTGCGATGAGTTCGAGGCACCTTGTTTTGAGTCGGAGTACCACGGCAGCAAATTAAAAACACAAACCAACGTATGGAAGGTCTGCCCCTGCTGGTGACACATTTTGGGTACCATAATTTAAAACATTTTCCATATGGATATGGTTGGCTTTAGGGTTAGGTAAAAAGGGACCTCCGGAAGTATGTGCACCAAGATGGCGCACAACCTGAAAATAGTATGTGTGTGTAGCGGATCTCCTGTTTTGCGCTGGTTTCCTTCTGTTTCGCGCTATTTTGCGCTGTTTCGCGCTGTATTCAGTAAGTAGTAAGACCCTTCACAACTTACTCTTTTTATGCTGAACAATCGTAGCACAAAGTGATTCTCTACTACATCTACTCATTGGAGCTTTAAAGTGAATTTAAAATCTTCAGATCTTACTGTCATTTGTCAACATGCTTTCAAGTGCTAGGACCGGTTCTAGGGCCTTCCCTCTCAAATGATTGCTATTTTGTTTTGTAATCCAGTAATCTGCATTCTATAATAAAATCTTTATTAATGTTGATGCACAACTAATTTAAATATTTATAAAGTCACTCACTTAATCTTGTCGCGAGACAACGCTGTCAGAACACAGGAAAACGCACGATGATCTTGGAAGCAATAATCTGTCTGAGCCTAGTAGGGCGTGACAGCGAATCCAACATCGGGACCAAATATCGGGGGTTACACGGGGTTGCTCATGGTAGTGGGGACGAGCATGGCTCAAGAAATAACAATGTAAATATCACGAAAATGATTCCTCCACGCAAATAATAATTTCAACATCCGTATTCTAACTAACTTTTTTAAATGTTCTAGATCAGATCAAAATGCTACATATATCGGAAATGGTTCCACTACATTTGAACCCACGTACATTCAAACCCGTAATTAAAACCCGCGCCACTTGCACCTGCATACTATTGCACCTATTAAAAAATTTTTTCACTGATATTACTACCATACTTACTACTTACCATACTACAGTACTAACCGTGACTAACCCTAACCTATGGGTTTTAGCATCCTCATAGGCTATAGATTGAACCCGCGGACATACGGGCGCAAATGTATGGGTTCAAATGTATGTGAGTTCAAATGTACGGTCACCATCGGAAATATCATTCTACATTTAGCCGATACCCAGAAAAAAGCTGATACCGCTATGTACATTCAGACATTGGTACATCTCTATTATGGAGTCGAAAGAAACCTATACCGGTACCTTTATACTTAGTGTAGGCAACTGTAAAAAAGTAATAAATTTGAGTTTGACCTTTATTTTGCAGTGTTTTTAGACGAAACACTGAAAGTTTACTGTCTAAATATTTCAGTGCCGTTGCATATGTCTACTTTGTAATGCTGAAAGCCTGAAACATGCCTGGTGGTATGAATGTCGGTGGTAAACGCTCCATTCGTCAACAGCAGATGAACTGCAGAACCAGGTAAGCAGTTCCATTGTTATCTAAATATTATTAACTGTTTGAATATCAGAATATAAACCTTTTTATTCAATGTTCCAAAAATTGTAGTCTTGAATAAGGCCTCTTCTATAGAGCTGATAATCTCATCGTCCACTTACAGTATCAGTACGTCACAGTTCTCCGATTCCAAGAATAGCCCCCACATTAAACGACATCAATTATAACAGTGAGTGCAAACCTCTTATTTACGAGATAGTCAGGCCTTCATGTCGACGCAAACCGGCACTGCGTAATAGAAGGAAGCGCAATGTAAAAACGTCACCATTCAGCCATTGGATTCCTTGGAATAAAATATTTCAATGTACCAGAGAAAAAAAATTTTACTGCAGCATTCGAGTGTTTTCAGCATAAAAACTCAATTTTGATCCAGTGACGATTTACGAACGTTGTGAACTTGTGATTGACTTAAATTATTATCCAGACAAGCAAAAAGAGTGTTTGTTTTATCGAACCAAATGTCGGGACATTTTGTAATCTGAGAACTGTGTCCTACTGAGTTATGTACTTACAAATAGAGAGAAGTCATGGTGCATTACAAGTACATATTTGAATAAATACGTTCAAACAGACAAAATGTACAACCTTTTTCTGAGTTGTTCACTGGCTACTATCTCTCCATTTCGAGCAAAAACAGTAAAATTGTCTGTTTTAAAAAACCATGAAAATCAATAAATTCTACCCGAGGAAAAAAATCGTGGCTTCAAAGATTCATGAAAAAAAATTATCGAGTTATCTTGACATATCTTGAAAGGTGTTAGGAATACGTACACTCGCACAGGTTTGCAAGTTCATATCTCGTTGAGATAATTGACATTATGTTCGATGGTCTTGTTGTCAGGTGGGTCAAGCAACTAGAGGTGTTTGCAATTTTGTAAACTTTCTTATTTTGCGCTCCTGTGTGGTTATATTTAAGTCATCTTTCCCGGGTAAATATGACTCTTGTACCGTTAAATGAGCATCAGATGAACAAATCTTAGGAAAGGTTATTAATCACATGATTTCTGCGAAGTATAGTATTTTCTAACTTCTTGTAAAAAGGCCCGAACTTATACATAAAACTATTTCAGATTTGTACGAAACCGAAGTTACACTAGCTCAAGTCATTCCCCAGTGGATACAGCAACACCACCACAGAACATAGGAAAAGAAGTTTGTTCATCAAATACAACAGTTTCTGCAATATGTCACCCTTCTGTTCCGGATTTACACTGTCTCGGAAATATTGGCTTTGAAGCTCTTTTCGTTCTTTATCTTCTCACAGCATTGTTTTGTCAGTATATTTATTTATATAAGGTGAGCTTTTGACCCATATATACGTAATGATTGTTTCAATATTTTATTTCAATATTTAGTATTAGAGACAAAAACATGTTATATTTATTGAATAAAAGTGGGGATACTTAGCAAAGTTCACTTTTTAGGTATTTTTCTTATTTTCGATGAAATAAATAAAGTTCATGTTTTTTAAGATAAATTTTTTGAAACTGAATGGCTTCATATTTTTGTGTGGAAGCTTAATCTGAAATGGTAGCATTAGGGCCTATTGGCTCTTGTCTCCATCTTTGTTTTGACTTGAGAACTGAAGCGCAGCAAGGCATTATAATATGCCAAAATCTGTTTTAGTATAGCTACCAGGTCCAGATAGGCCCAGAATTTTTCAAAAATTGTTGCTACTATGTTTCATTTTTCAGACTGTCTGGTGGTATCCTGTGACTCTGCCACCAAGTACGACATCGCTGAATTTTCATCTGATTGATCACAATTTAACTTTGTTCCTAGCTGTTTTTTTATCAAGGCGATTTGTTTGGTCACTGCTTTGGGACGTGAGTATTGTGTTTTTTCTGTTGAAATCATGATGATTTCACAAGTTTAAAAAACTTGATTAATAATGGGCACTGGGCAGATATGTCAAATAATCTATTTAGTACTTTAATAGCCCATAAACAGCTCATTAATATGAATTACTCTTTCAACAGTTCTTGCGCCCGAACCCAGACAATGCTCCAAGAATAATAGCGTGGTTGTTGATTTGTTTTTTTACTGGAATCTTATGGTTATTTTTCTTGATGATGCCTTTGGCATATTTGTTCTACTCAACTTCACTTTTGAACATGGTCGTTTTGTGCTATCCGTAAGTTACTGATTTTTGTTTGAATGAGGATATTCTTTATAAAGTTGCCTTTGTAATCTCATGTAAAATGAATTTTAAAATGGAAAAGCTGAGTCGAGGTTCGATGGAACACTATTTAACGTATTTTGTAATTAATAGAATATGCCTCTTTGCTGAAAATGCCTGTGCCTAATTATTTAATTGTTTAGTCATCGTGTATGACTGTGTGTGCCTTCAAGTTTTTAGTACAGTGCGATTTTTCATGCAATAAATCTATTTTTATTTGCAGGATATTGCTTTGGGTACCACTTACTGGTCTCTCTGGTGATTCTTGTCTCAATTTGATCATTACATGGCTGAGCATGACTGATGTTTCTGGAAAAATTGGTACAGATTCTGTTGGAAGCGGAAGTTCATTGGCTAGTCATTCCACACAAAACAAGAGATGTGATTTAGATGTGACAAGTCAACTTTTGAATCAACCAGAATCAAGTGGTTCTCAGATTGATTTTGCAGCTCTAGGAAACTCATCAAATCCACATGCAGTTAGTATAATTAAAATAGAGTCTTTATTCAAACCCTGGGTTAGGTCAGATACGATGGTTTTCCATGCTTTCTTCCCGGGTCACATTTTAATCTGTGTCAAATTACAGGATTTGAGGAGGTTCTGTTGTCAGATTTCAGTTAAATTGTGGAAATGGTTCATGTAGAAAATCTGGTCATTTCAATATCGGAAATGCTCCAAACATGCTATTCATTCATACAAATCGAAAAATTTGTGTGTCAAATTGGAGTTCATTGCATCTATAAATGAACGATTTTCTGTGCCAGTGAGCTTTGACATGAAATGGCACTGTCATTGTACCAATTGAACAAACTTCAGTTGAAATTTGGACATTTCAGGTTTGTGGGTTTTTTCAAAAAAAAAATTCCAACTTTAGGTAGTCAGCATATCAGAATCACAAACATTTCCTCATTCAATTATTGGATGTTGACACATGACACTCCAGTGATTAGTTGTCTAATTTCTCTGATGTCAATTTGTGCATAATCTATATTCCACAAAATATCATATTTTCTTTCTACAATTCAAATTATGTTTGTATGTTTTTAATAACCAAATAGGTATTATCATCTTTATCGATAGCCTGATTCTTTCTCACTCAAATTTTCCAAATGAGCAATTGATCTAATGAGCCTTATATACTAACTTATCTTTCTAAATATGTAGGTACAAAAGAAGTAACTTGTCCATGAAATTCATTGAAAATTTTTTGTTTTTTAGATAAGAAATGAGGTCAAATTACTCTGTCAAGATTTTAACTCACGAATATCAGAAATTGTTTTTTGTTCCATGGTTTGTGCATACTATGTTGGACTTGTTCCTATGTTTTTTATGAAGGTATGTTGTTACAATATGTCCTAATAAGGAAAAGTTGATTGCTTGAGTTAAAAAATACCATATGTTTTTCTTCAACAGTCTCATCAATATTATGACATGACATGGTCGTTGCAACATACAATATTAGTTCTGTTGAACTCATTTGCACTACTTTCATCTCATCTGTTAAATCCAAGATATCTACATGTTCTTCATAAATGTGCCCTTTTGCTTGGTGACTACAAATTAGAGAACGACTCAGTAAGTAGAATAAAAAATAATGTATGGATATATATTCGGTGGCGTAGCATCCACCCCCGCGGTCGCGGGGGGCCCACAGCACAAAGGGCCCCAAGCGGTTAGAATTTAGAAATTAAAGCCGCAAAACTAAAAGCTGCATTGCAAAACCAGTAATGCACATCTTATATATAATGTTTATGTTAGTTCTGCTCAAATCGTTTTGTTACGTAACAATGCCAGGGAGTCGTCGATTTTCAGCGTCGTGTGGTTTGATCGTACCGGCACAATGGACATTTCCCTGAGCATCGACTTCCTTGTTTACTTCGTGACATTGGCCAATGAGCAAGATGCAAAAATTGACGTAACAATGCTCCAATTTCGCATCCGCTCAGACACTTTTTCAAACGTAGTCGTAATCATTACCTCGTTCTCGCGTTTTTGAACTCTATTCGATAGTTTTCTGTTGTGTTTCGGAAACTTAAAAACTTAAATATAAATCAGATAATTCAATGATCACTCTGTCTTCCTAGGAGTTTTAATTTAATTGCAGTAATAAAAAATTAGTGTAGAAATAGCTATGATAGACTAGGCTAAAATTCTTTACCGGTACTTTTAAAAAACAGATTGTTGTATGCGATGAATCATAATGATGGTTTCAAACACAACAGCTCGCAAAAGCACTCTTAAAATAGCCCAGAAAAATTTTCAATGGTAAAGTATGGGAAGAATTTTTCGGGGGTCAAAGGTCGGGGAAAGGTCCATTGTGAAGGCTGTCAGAATGATGTCGAAAGCAAAATCTTTCAGTGGCACACAGAAACGCAGAAAAGGGCCGAAGAGGAAGAATGTATGAAAAAAATTAAAGTAATTAAGATAAACGAAATATTTAAACCAAAATTGAAACAAGTGGCTTGGGAATACCGAACGTAACTGAAGAGGAATTAGGCCTAGCATCGGTGGTATCGGTAGAAAACTCCGGAAAACCAAATACGTGTTCAATCTCCAAACAAGATGGCGTCGGCGCGACTTACACGACGATTATCACAGGAAAGCTACTGATTTTTGAAGCAAATTGAAAAGGTTGCATAATTTGGTTTTCGAAAACCGAAATTAATAAAAAATTATCTCAGGAGCACGATGTCACAGGAAAGGCTCTCTGGAGTATTGCGCTGCTGAGTATTGGATCTGAACGCTCGACCCGACTTGATATGACGAAGATGGTGGATAAGTTTGCTAACGCGAAAGCGCAAATTTTAGGTGACCATTGCCTTTTTATAGCGACATGTTATGCATTGATGAAATAAGAAAAAAAAACGTTGTTTTAGCTTTTAGGGTTATTTTTACGAAAATTTTTGCGGGGGGGGGGGCCCACGAGAGTCTTGCTACACCACTGTATATATTATATTTGAGACGAATAGATTATTTACAATATGATCCATTGCACAACCGTTTTGTAGCCCACAAGTAGATTTTAGGTTAAATTTTGGCCCATCGCAATTTAAGTGTACACCCCTGGTGTAGGTAGATTTAATCATGTTAATTCACATAGGTTACGGACGGTATGTACTTTTGTTTGCTCATCGTTTAACATTGTTCTGATTTTGAAAAGAGGCAATGTCATTTTTACAAGCCTTTGGTGACGTCTCTTTTGATTCAGTTTTTACAAACAAGTTTTTTTATTTTTCTATAGTAAGTTGGGTATGTGTTATTTGCTCTAAGAAATAATAGTAACAAATCAGTGTAAAATGCTAGGAATGATTTGACTTCATATTACAGGCTAAAGCTGGAAATTCTAACATCGGTGTTGAATCGGAAACTGATGGTAAAGAGAATGCTCTTACATCATTAGAACGAAAAAGCGGTATTAAAGAGTAAGCATCTTTGCATACATATTGGATTCAATAAATTAATATATTGGAGTTTTATTGATTGATTCATTAATTCGATGAATATGCTGATAAACATCTTTATAACACTTCTAAACCGGCCGTTTTTTTGAAAAATATCACTTGGTCAGCGACTCAAGAAGAAATTGTATAGGCAGAGGGGCACTGAGAGAACTATTCGTTTTCTTATTAAAATACTGACTTCGCTAATTTTATAACTGTCCAAAGAAGCATTATATACCTCCGAGTCATTAAATAAAGTACGGTAATTTTAATTTACTCAGAAACATTAATCAGTTAATAACAATGTTTTTTATCTGTTTTTATTTTTATAAATGTATTGTGGGGCTCCGAAAATAATAGTTAACCTCTTTACAGACTCCGTAACACCATAAATTTGAGATCCTCTGGTATAGGCCATTGGTACTCATTCCAAATCCCGTATTTTCCGACTGATGAGCCGATTTTGTGGTTGAATTTCTTTGGACCAGAAAATAGGAAAAAATTTGGCAATAACATGCCTCTGAATTTGGAACTCTGGTAGTTATATTTTTTGTTGCTGCATTTGTATGGGCACATAAGGTGCAGCATGACTCAGAAAAAAAAGAGTAAAATAAAATGCGTATTGCTGCTTAACTGATGAAGAGTAAAAAAAAAAAATCTGCCTCTGCCTATTGGGTGGTAATATGGAAAAACCCTCACTTTTAGTCCTAAAGATTGTCCTCTGCTTTTTGCTGAGTCGGCTTATTAGCAGGAAAATATGTTCTTTAGCAGAATGAATTAAACGTCGAATCATGGATTTTTGGTGGTATCAAATTCTTCATTATATTGCCTTTCTATTTACCAGGTGGTCTGCCGATTCAGTTTTTCAATGCTATACAAAAGTGAAGCATAATGGCAAGATATATCAAAGCACTGGAATTCATAATGTTGCTGAGCCAGAAGATGTAACACATTATAGATTTTACGTAAGTCTTTGTAGTAATTTGGAGGGTTAAGAGCAGGGCTGGCAACTTCTCTAGTCGGCGGGCCGGATTATAACATGAATAGTTTTCAGTATCGGAGACTTATCCATCGAAGGTCAGGGGATCCCCCGAAACAGCGCTCTTACTCCATAGTGACACAATATGTCCCATCACTAATTAATTATTAACTCGCTAATAAACGACATGTTTCATCGAAAATCAATAGACTTCTGATCCGAGCTATGATGAATGCACATGCAAAATTTGGAGCAGATTCGACCTCGCTTTCGTGAGATATCGCGTGCATCTAACAGACAGACAAACAGATAAATACATATCAACATACTTACCGATCTTAAGATCGATAAGTACTAATGTAATATCATCATGTACTGATGTACAGTCAGCGGCCAGGTCAAAATCGCGTCTTTTTTCATGATTTCCTATTCTTTTATTAGTTTTATTATAATAATAAAAATTCTATTCCAGATAAGGGCTACTGGTATTTGTTTAGCTTCTATGTACTTCGGTGTTCAGTTTTCCTATGTGGCATTTGAAATTAAAAAACATGATTTAATTTTTTTGAAAATATGTACGAAACAAGTTTTTCATTATGTTTTTATTCAGTTCATGTTCAACGATCCTTTACGAATAATGAATTGGTTGTTACTCGCCCATGTTATCGTTGTTTTATTTCAAATATATCTTCTCATATCGTCGTTGAAATGGGATCACTTAATCTCAATTGCTCTAATGCAGTTTTTCAGGTGAGTGAAATTTGCATTGATGTGGTAGCAAGAAGTTCAAACAGTTATTCCTCAGACATTGTGTGGCATGGCTATTTTGGCTAGTATCTAATTTTAGTATGATTTCATCATACATCTGAACCTACTTTTATAGTCTGTCGATTTTGAATAATGGGTCAGTGCGAAATATCAGATAATGCCAAGAATGGATCATTGAAACTTTTAGATATATTCAAATGTGGTATTGTTTCTGAAATGATGGGTCTCTGAATTTAAAATGAGCTTCATGTTTTTTGCAGTTACTATGTGCTGTTTAGGTCATTACGTGATCGAATAGTTCTGGGAAAGGCACACAGTTTTCATCATGAAGTTTATAAATCCAACAGTACATGAAAGAAGTTGAACCATGGACTATTATGCCGACTTGAAGCAGTGCTTTTATAATCATTCTGTGACCATAACGCATACTCTTCTCAAATCGAGTATATTTATGGTTGAAATGTACTTGGCAAGGACCAGCAGTACTACCCTTATCCACATGAAACTTACTGTATTAAGTTTTGTGCGTGGTGGGAGACACAATAGAGGTGTATAGGCTAAAAATAAGAAAAACAGCCCATTTTGGATATGTATTGCACAGTGGTGTGTGTTAGCCATCTAATCGGACTTTAATATATTATGAAGAAATGCAGTTGCTTTTTTAAGATTGTTTGGGAGTCAGGATGCATCTTACCACGACAATGAAATGTGCGGGGGCTAGCCTGCGGCTGTGGTTTTGGGGAAAATTATCAATTCGAGCCATTTTATTACCTCCCATCTGCGGGATAATTTTTCAAATGGTTTCAAGACTACCAGCGTTTATGACAGAAGATTTGGACTTTTGTTGTATTGTTTAAATGCTATTCGCTGGTCAATTAGTAGGCTTGTGTCGTGGTTTGGTCACATTTTTATTAAACTGACACTTGTGATGATTCAATTTTGCAACTTTATATGAGCATTATATAGCAACGATATAGAGTTTTGTGTATCGGCGTCGGATTAGGCATATTTGTACGTGAAGTAGTGCAAAGAGAATTGGACGTCCCCCTCGCTATTTCCGTGTTTATGTTGAAGATATATTTTTATATTATGTAGATTTTCGATGTCGGCAAAATGTAGACAGATATTTTCGATACATTTAGCTTTTTGATCTTATCTACAATGTTGCAGAAGATAAGTTAGTATACGGATGCTGGAATTATTTTTTACATGGAGGGATTGTTTTCGCGGTATCTGCCTCTTCAACTTTGAGCCATGCCACGAGTAAAAACAGGAACATGATTCTGTCCTGTTATAGCTACCGCGTTTCCCCGAAAATAAAACTGGGCCTTCTTCCAATTTTCTTTCGAAAAAAAAACACTGGGATTTATTTTGGGGGGATGTCTTTTATTTTTATTTATCAAAAACAAAATTACAAAGTAGAGAATTACGAGATTTTCGAATATACAAAATATAAATCCGATATCCATTTACTTGTTACAACTGCTAGACATAGATTATTAATCATTTAAAATGTGTAGAAGAGATTTATTGCTATCGACTAGGTCAAATTTTTTTTTTATCATTTTTAAAATTCAAGCTAAGTCTTATTTTCAGAGAAACACGGTATGTATCAGTCAAACTATCTCAACTGATTCGGATATTTTTCGCTGCCTAGTATTTTTAATATTGCATTGTAATTTCAAAAAAAAATATCAATCGATTATTAGTGAATTTTTCAAAAATTCGCACAAAATCCTTGGACGCACCTCAATGTACTAGTTTAAAATAGGATAAGTAAGCATTTATTGGACACGTTTAGTGGCCATAACGATCGTTTCAATATTATGTTGTTCTTGTTCTTTGACACGTTTTTAAAAAGTCGCTTTTCTCTTCGAATACTGGACCAATTGCTTTGAAATTTTCAGTGGTTGAAGATAAAATTTTTCTCCAGAAGGCTATTACTTTTTTTTTTCGCTATGACGTCATTAAAAATTATTGCCATTGGGTGGCGCTACGTGTCCATATATTTGAGCATAGCTCTCTTGTTTAGTTTTGCATGGTAGCCAAACCGCTGTGAGTTTTCTAATTGAATATTCTGATATGAACCAATTAATCAATACATATGGATCACAAACATTAATTTATTATGTTCTAAAATATCTATTTTTAAGCTGAAATAATGCGCACTATGAACAATACTCACAGCCCACCTTTTTCTTCAGTCTGTCCTGTGCACTCGAGGTGCTAATTATATACTATCGAATATTTGAAATATCGGTATCGGCGTTTTTTTCGTTGGTATCGCCTATCGGTACATTCTAATTTAGTGTTTAGTGAAAATAGATGTCTCTGTCTTCAGTGTCGCTGCTCGATAGCCAGCTTTGGTGGTTGGCACATCTTTAACGTCGTTTTGCCTCGGTACCGTACCGTAATAAATGCCAGTCTCAAGGGAGCCGATACGTGCGATGTAAGCACCTTTTTATGACATTGTGCAGCAATTTTGTTACTGATTCTCTGTAAAAACAGTGGCGACATGACTGCTATCTATATGCCATGAAACCCTGCTTTAATTTCAAAATAAATCAGACTTGCTAAAACAAGAGAGCTATGCTCAAATATATGGACACGTAGAGTCACATAATTTTGATGACGTCATAGCGAAAAAAAAAGTAATAGCCTTCTGGAGAAAATTTGTATCTTTAACCACTGAAAATTTCAAAGCAATTGGTCCAGTATTCGAAGAGAAAAGCGACTTTTTAAAAACGTGTCAAAGAACAAGAACAACAACATAATATTGAAACGATCGTTATGTTCATTAGTGTCCAACAAAGAGATGAGAGCTGAATTCACGGCGGTACCGGTACCTAACGTAGGTGCGGTACTGAGTTAGCAGTCGGGCAGCATCTTACCTGTACACTGTAGGCCATATACGGTAATTGATCACAGAACAGTTGTTCCCTTGCAAATTTTATGTTGTTTACACTTTAGGACGGATAATTGATCACAGAACAATTCTTCCCTTTCAAATTTTATGTTGTTTCCAGTAGACTCTCATCAAAATAAACAAATATAGTAGGCTACAAGTGCTACAACGCTTGCATTACTGCACTGGTAGGACCGTGAAAGAATAAGTTACGGTAATTTCATTGTGGTAAGACACCGGTACCGGCACCAGTACCAGTATCGTACTTACGTACTGAGCTACCAGTACCGGTTAGCAGTCAGCCAGCATCTTACCTGTACACTGTAGGCCATATACGGTAATTGATCACAGAACAGTTGTTCCCTTGCAAATTTTATGTTGTTTACACTTTAGGACAGATACCGTAATTGATCACAGAACCATTCTTCCCTTTCAAATTTTATGTTGTTTCCAGTAGACTCTCATCAAAATAAACAAATATAGTAGGCTACAAGTGCTACAACGCTTGCATTACTGCACTGGTAGGACCGTGAAAGAATAAGTTACGGTAATTTCATTGTGGTAAGACACCGGTACCGGTACCGGCACCAGTACCAGTATCGTACTTACGTACTGAGCTACCGGTACCGAACCTGTAGGTCTGATATTCCGTTCCGCATACGATAGGCTATAAAACTTGCATTGCAGCATTAGTAATACCGCGGAAGGAATAAGTCAATTTCACTGCGTTACGGTACCGGTATGGCAACTTACCAGTACCGACCTACAGTAGCTGTAGTACTGAGCAAGACAATCGATCGCGGAACCGCTTGAAATAAGTGTAAAACAGTGTTCCCATGAGTAAAAATAAATACCGCGAAATTTTGTATGAAATATCATATCTCATAGGATTCATATAAAATTTAAGAATAAACAAAAGTAATAGCCTTCTAGCGAAAAAATTAATCTTTAACCACTGAAAATTTCAAAGCAATTGGTCCAGTATTCGAAGAGAAAAGCGACTTTTTAAAAACGTGTCAAAGAACAAGAACAACAACAACATAATATTGAAACGATCGTTATGTCCACTACGTGTCCAATAACCATGCGAGTCCAGATCATTCAGGTGTATGGTCCAGACCGCAGCTTAGCAGAACTGTGACGCAGTGCATTGCCACTCATACGTAGCGAAACGGCAGTGGGCGAACTGTATGTTATGTACTGTACAACTGTGATTTTGGCCATCACAGTTTCTGACGAGGCGAACCACAATGAGATGTTGATACATGAGAAAATAAATAATGTATCCCCATGCAATTTATTAATGCGGAACTTGAGCTTGCATATTATCAGATCAAGGATAGGATTTACATATTTATTCAGGGGAGAAGAAAGTCGATAAGACGGCTTATCCATATGGCGGACAACGGCCTATCGTCCGGCTACCATTCCATGTCGGGTATGGGATTAGTTCTTGATTTTCGGAAGCATGGACTCCAAGTCGGGTCTTGATACGAGACGAGCTCACACGCAACATAGCATTTATCAACTCTCCAATGAGTATCTTTTTTATTTTATTTGGCGCGGCGGTGTGGCTCAACGGGCTAATCGTTAGGAATACGCTCGCCACCGCACCTCTAATAACTCTGCGTGGGTTCGCAGGCTCGAATCCCATGCAGCGATGGTTATGTGCGAGAGGACTGCTGGACTCCTTGCCGTCGTTGGGTGGTTCACGTAACCGCTGGTCGGTTACGGCTTCCTCCACCACCAAGTCCATGCTTCCGAAAACAAAACAATATAACTAATCCCATACCCGACTTGGAATGGTAACCGGACGAGAGGCCGTGGTTCGCCATATGGATAAGCTGTCTTATCAGCTTTCCTCTCCCCCGGGATAAATATGTAAATCCTATCCTATTTATATACATTTAACTGTGAATCCTAATAGTGAACTTGGGGGGAGCTGACTCCGATGACCTCAGGGTCGCATCGCTCCCCCCAGTCTATGGACCTTTCCCCGACCTTTGACCCCCAAAAAATTCTTCCTATACTTTACCATTGCAGAATTTTCAGGGCTATTTTAGGAGTGCTTTTGCGAGTTGGCGCCTGTAAAATGGGGTATGTGTTTCAAACCATCATTAGGATTCATCGCACACAACAATCTGTTTTTTAAAAGTACCGGTAAAGAATTTCAGGCTAGTCTATCACAGCTATTTCTACACTAATTTTTATTACTGCAATTAAATTAAAACTCCTAAGAAGACAGAGTGATCATTGAATTATCTGATTTTTATTTAAGTTTCCGAAACACAACTGAAAACTAACGAATAGAGTTCAAAAATGCGAAAACGAGGTCATGTTTACCACCACGCTTGAAAATCTGTCTGAGTGAGAAAAGTGTCTGAGCGGATGCGAAAAGGGGGCATTGTTACGTCACTTTTTGCATCTTGCTGATTGGCCAACGTCACGGAATAAACAAGGAAGTCGATGCTCGGGGAAAGGTCCATACCGAATTAACTTTGTGTATATTGTATATATTATTGGACACGTTTAGTGGCCATAACGATCGTTTCAAAATTTTGTTGTTATTGTTATTTGTCTCTATCTTCATTTTTAAAAAATCGCTTTCTTCTTCGAATACTGGACCAATTGCTTTGATATTTTCAGTGGTTAAAGATAAAATTTTTCTCCAGAAGGCTATTACTTTTTTTTTCGCTATGACGTCATCAAAATTTTTGCCACTGGGTGGCGCTACGTGTCCATATATTTGAGCATAGCTCTCTTGTTTTATATACCATTGTTCGTTTACGGTTGACAAAACAATAAATCTCGCTCTCTCTCTTTATGCTCGGCCACTTCCTGCCTTAATGAAACCACATTTGATGTAATCAGAGTCATATTTTCTCACCACAACTTTTCGAATTTTTTATTTTTAAAAATTATCCATTTTGTGGCTTACAAGAATCAAACGAAGTTAGGGTGTTGAAATAAAGCATATTAACACTGTTCAGCCATTATTTAAAACTCATTGGACAGATTACCAATTACATAAACCTGTGATCAAAATATTTCGAGTGAACCACAATTTCTGTGGTGAAAATAATGTGGAAACAAACTTATGTGCAGGGTGCAAATGTTCATGGTTTCAATCCCCATTCTGTTACTAAAATATGTGCGTTCAAGAGTATACAGCTGCAGTTTACCGGTGGAAATCCATGAAGCACCTGGGCCTGTCATGAAAAAACGCACACGGTGATAGATAGAATAAACATAATGTTGCAAAATCTGTTCAAAAACTATATCCGTTGCCACAACATATCAAGTAAACCTCAAAATTGAGTTATTTGACCATGTTTCGGGTGCCTTTTCTATTGGAAAAATGGACCTGAAGCACAGTCCGAAACCAACCTAATTCCCATAGAAAATAAACAAAAATATGGTTAAAAACAAAAACCTATTGAAATGTTAAATATGGGGAACAGCAAACATCAAAATTTGGAGACAAACATGTATAGTCAAATATGCTAGGACAGGCAAGTGTTTAAGAGCTGCAATAAACTGCATGGTCAAACTATCAACTAAACACAAAAAATTGGACACTGCTAAATCTGTTTTTCTGCGATATCTGTCACTCTCCTTGAAATTGTGCAATCATCGCCAGTTGTCCAAAATACGTCAAACATGAAGAACACAGTTGCCATCACACACCAATCATAAACAGAGCCTAGGATTATAATTTTATGTGGAATACACTGCAGTACACACAGGAACGTCTAAAACAATTCAAATACTCTCGAAATTGGTTACTTCGATAAAACAACTTCTAGGAATATATTCGACTAAAAATTTGGCATTCTATGACAGTGAAAGAAATCAATCAGACATTATTTATCTATTTCCCATTAATAAATTTCTGCTAACTCACAAATTTCTTTACATTTCTTCGATGACAAGCCTTATTCAGAATATATCAGATATTTCACACTCAAAAATATTATTTCAGAATGTATTCGAAATAGTAGATTATTGGTTGTATTAGCCATCCCTAGTTTTATCTTATCATTAACTCATCTTTCATTCCCTTGGATAAACATGAAATAAATCAACAAAAATTATTAAAACACACACATGATCCGAATGAAAACAGAATTTATATACAAATCCTGAAAAGCATTATAAAAATCAACAGCAAAACTGATTACAACGAATCTAATGTCAAATTGTGGAAAAAACATCAGTGGCAAATTAACAGGTATGTACAAATAATGACAGTTTCCTCATTATGATACACATTGGTATCCATCCCTAGTTTTATCTTATCATTAACTCATCTTTCATTCCCTTGGATAAACATGAAATAAATCAACAAAAATTATTAAAACACACACATGATCCGAATGAAAACAGAATTTATATACAAATCCTGAAAAGCATTATAAAAATCAACAGCAAAACTGATTACAACGAATCTAATGTCAAATTGTGGAAAAAACATCAGTGGCAAATTAACAGGTATGTACAAATAATGACAGTTTCCTCATTATGATACACATTGGTATAATGCAAACTTGGGCAAATATTGACTATTAAAATGTCCTTGAGCATCAAATGTTCATCAATTGGATTATTCATTGATTGATGGTTGACTAAATAATATCTTAGCCTCCATCACCATACTTTTGATAAGTTTATTTGTGCTCTCAGATCAGAACTGATATTACGATGTGGAAACATTAGAGCTAGCTGTATTCTGAGATCTTTCCGGGTCAGCCATTTTCCACACCCTGATTTGACATGACTGTGGCAAAGAACTAATATCATGTGGTGTCAAAAAGATGAACTGCTTCAATTTATCATTCATGGCAATTTCAAGCATCATCTCCATAGCAACTCTTCGGTTTGCCATATCCATGAAAACATCAAACTCATCGAGACACCGAAATGGGGATTCAATTTCCTCCCACAATGATAAAATGAAACAAACAGTGGAAAAGGACCTTTCACCACCTGAAAGTGCACGCATGTCATTAGTCGTGATACCATCTTCTCCAGGTTGAACAGATATTTGTAAAAGACGATCAGTGTGACTAAAATGCATTTTACCAGTGAAACCTCTTTGTGATAAAAGGGTATCAAACGCCATACGACATCTCACTGAAATTAGAACTCTCATCTGAATAAAAGACTGCTGGCGTTGTTTTAGATATGAATCAACCTCACGAATAAAAGTTTGTACCCATTGCATTCCATTTTTGATGGATTTATATTGCTCTTTGACTTCATAGTATTCCTTAATTATTTGTTCTCTTTGACCATGTTGTTGTTCATCTTGTGCAACTCTGCGTTCAATTTGTCGAATCTCATTTTCTATATTGCTCGGAGTTCTCCTTGTATTTATTCTTTCCCTATGTATGAGTGCTGCTCTTTCACGCTCCGTGTCCACCATTGAATTTTCTTTGTTCAGTTTGTTTAGCATATCTTGAATCATATGGTTATGGTTTTTCAGACTTTCTTCGTAATAACTTCTATCGGATTTGGCCTTCTCAAGATCATTTTCTACTTTACTTATGTTTTCTCTACTTTCATCCAAAGCATCTTTTAGTTTTCTCATCTCTCCATCATATTGTTTCCAATTAGACTGAGCACTGGTCAGTAACTCTTTGCTTGATTTCAAATTTTCACTTTCCTCATAAATCATTGCATCAAATGATACTATCTGTTGCTTATAATTATTGACCTCGTCAAGAAGATCTTTGACATCTGGAGGTGAAACTTCTTCAACAGACTCCAATCCTCTAATGTCAACTTGAACCTCTTTCAATCTGTTGACTAGTTGACATTTAGTTCTCTCAAGGCGATGAAGCTCTTTCAGGCTGATTTGACTTTCCTTTGTTTTACTTTGTACAATTACCTCTATATTTTTTATCTTCATATCAAATCCTTGAATTTCTTCTTGAAGTCTACGAATTTCATCATCAACATCCGCTTTTAGAAACCTAGACACAGGCTCTCGTGGATTCGAATAAAACCTATCCTCAAAAACTTCATCACCATCCCCAGTGTAGACCTGAGTGCAACCCGCAGGTGGTCTCGCAGAGTTTTGCATAATTCTCATGGCATCTTTTAGGTTAGGAATGACGAGAATAGTTTCAATGCTTCCCATATCAATCAGGCAATTTGCTACGACTGGATCTTCAATATTGAGGAGATCCAAAACACATTTATATGGATTATGAACAGCTTTGCCACGTGACACATCATGTACTTTTTTAGAAAATTTACTGGTGTATATTGTAATCTGGCTTGCTTCCTTCGGTGTAAAAACGGAGCTTCTTAGTTGAGACAATAGCTTCATATCTTCATGATTATCGACAACGAATGCACTGATGTGAGAACGAATTGCAGATTCAACAGGTACTGCCATATTTGCATCTTTCAGTGTTATGCATGCTCCGATTGGACCTCTTGGCTTCAGGCGAAATCTCTTTTTTTTCCATTCCTCCTCTATTCTTTGGACAAAGCGAGGCATTTTAACACCAAACAACTGAAGACGATTTTTGCGATCTGATGTTAAACTCTTCAGTAAACTCGCAGTTTTGTGTTTTTCTGTGGAAATTCTTTGAGCATCTTTTTTATTTTCTTGAATTATTTCCTTGCAATTTTCCATGGCATTCTCAAACTGCTTCTTTTGCTTTGAAATATTTTCCAATCGTGCTGTAAGATCTTTGAGCTCATTATGTAACTTGCCAAGAGCCTTTTCTCTTTTTTTCTTTTCTGCTTCAATATTTGTGTTAACAGTTTCCATAAGGTCGCTTATCCTCTTCTCCATTTTTTTCATATCGCTTGCTGCATCATGTCTTTGTTTCACCAGAGACTTTACCTTGTGTTCCAACTGTCGATGAGATTGGCGAATTTTGTCGAATTCTTGCTTTTTAACATTTCTCAATGGGTCCAGTTCTTTGGCATTTTCCATATACTCCTTCACAGAATTTTGTGATTGCGTAAAAAGAGCTCTAGCTTCTTTCTCACGATGCTTGGATTTATCAACCATCTGGGTGTACTTTGCAGTGCGTTTTTGCTCTTGTTCCAGCTGTCTTTTAGATGGTTTGAGCGAATGTTCCAAATGTATAACATGAGCCCATGCCAGCTCACCTTTCAAGTTGTCTATTTTATTTTTCAATTCTTGGAGTGTGGAAAGATCACGGAACTTCTGTTCCTTGGCAAGAACTTCCTTCTCCAATTCGGGCAAAACTTTTTCCTTTCTCTTCAGTGTTTCTTGCATTGTTAATCTGTGTTTTTGAACAAAATCATAATCCATACTCATTTGTTCTAGTTGAGTTGATTTCATGAAAAATTTGTATTTGTCACTTTCACTTTTTGAGTGCAAGAAATGCTTGCTCATTTCTTGGTTCAAGCAGGTTAACGGATTATCCACTTGTATGTTGAACTGGTCCAAAATTTGCACTAAATCTTCCTTTTTATTAGTAATTATTTTGCCATCGGCATTTTTAATTTTGTAGCATGTCTGCCCATCAACATGTATTTTCCTTTCAATAGTAATGCTGTCACCAAAAAGATGTTTTTTGTATGCCTCTTTTCCTTTATTACGCATTGTGATTTCGACAGTTGCTGAATTGCTTCCTTCTTTTATCAATGTCTTGAGAGAAGATCCTCTGCTTGTGCTACTTGCCTTTCCACCAAGGCCAACAACAATTGCTGTGATAATGGCACTTTTTCCACTACCATTTTTACCAACAATAAAGTTAACATTTGAAGAAAACGACATAGTCAGCTGACTATGGCACATGAAGTTTTTCAGTGTTACTTTCTCCAATATACCCATGTCCAAATCATCATCATCAGTAGATGAGTTGTTCATCACATGTGCACGTTTTGCTGCTCTTCCTTTTTGGGAAGATTTTCTCTTGGTACTCATTGTGGGTTTCACTTCGCAGATGTAGGACAATAAACAAGAATCTATAAAAGCATAAACATTCAATATTACATAATTCCACAATAGCTATCACCCGGCAGATGTGTAATTCCATCTAAATCTGTTTCCAAACCAATCCAACCAGACAAAGTCATTAAATTAGTTTTTGTATAGCTTACTTAAGCGAGTAAAGCTTTTTATCGTTATCTAGATCAGGGCTTCCCAAACTTTTGAGCTCGCGGCCCCTTTTAATATATTAAAATTTTTCGCAGCCCCTGTTCAGGTTAATAACAATAAACAGTTTGAATTATGCATTTTTAATGATTTATTGAAACAGCTTATTCTCAACTTTTAGTAGGCCTACTCAATAACAAAAACAAGCACATATTTACTCGGATTATTGTTCTCAGTTATTTAATGTAATGGGTGCGAATACTTTTTGCTGCATAATTAGCAAGTCCAGCCATAGCTCAGTGTTTTTTATGCAGACCTAATGAATTATGATGTCTGGCCACTGACGGCATGGTCCTTATCATGAATTGTTACTCACTCGTATTGATCAAATTTAGCACGAGGCAGCAGTTTGTGTGACGCCAAATTATAAGGGAAAAAACTCGCGACGCACCTACACGAAAAATATACTGCCTCAGAAAAAAAAAATTTTTGTCATCTTCAATGTGTACTTTATGCCTTTTGAGGTTTATAACCATGTAGGCCTAACCTAAGGAATAAAGGCAAAGGTTAACTTTTCATTCTTATCTCTGCCTGGTTTTTCTTTGAAATGTTAAAAAAAATCACTCATGTTTGATAAACTCGGTTCAGCAAATGAATAAACTGCAGCCTACGACATTGCAGCATGTAGGGCATGCCCGTTGCGATTTCGTATTTATTTAAAGAAGGGTTTTCTACCATCGCTCATTAAATGTGATTTCACTGACTGTCGTTAGGTTTTGTTTTTTTCGTTTATATGGAATTAATTGGAAAAAGGGTCTTCAATTGAAAGGTATCAATATCTATATTCGCGGGGAGTCGCAACTTGGGCATATTTCAGCCTTTAGGCCATCCAGACATGATGTATACGGTACCGGTACCACTACCGGGGTCTCATGTACTTTCTTACCTGAATAACTTCTAGTGGGCGTGGCGTAACAATTTTTGGATATATGACTCCTGACCCCTATCTGATGACGTCATCCAAAAATTACGTCACTGCGACGTCACAATAACGAAATACAGCTTGCCAAAGTATAGCGACGGTCACCCGTAATGGCGCCTACGAGTATGTCAACAAACTCAATACGTCAGCGACCTCTCTCTTATCGGGGTCGTTGTACAGAGCTCAAAATAAACACAAGAATCACAAGCGACTAAATTGTCGCCGAGGAACGTTCACGATATCCCATTCTGACCAATTTCTCTCCATCAATAGCTCATGTATCGTGCTACAATCTAAAATAGAGCGTTATACAATACAACTCTAACCAAGGCTTTAGACAAGCAGAAAATACATGTTATTTTACGCGATGGTTGAAGTTGGGTACCACACACATAAAGACTTATTATTTTATGTCCAGCAATAGCTCATGTATTGTGCTACGATCTATAAAATAGGGTGATATACGATACCGCTCTGAGCTAGGCTTTAGACAAACAGAAAGAACATTTAATTCACGCAATGATTGAGGTTAGGTGCCGCAGACATAAAGACTTGTTATTTAATATCCAGAGACTGATCATGTATTGGGCCACATTTTATTAATAGGACGTGGAACGCTTTCACTCTATGCAAGGCTTTAGACAAGCAGAAACCGACATATTAATTTGCCTTAGCGCAATGAATGTAGTTTCTTACCTCGATAACTTATACTTATCTTAGCGTAACAATTTTTGCATATATCATTCCTGACCCTCACCTGACTTCGTCATCCAAAAATTACGTCAATGCGATGTCACAATAACGAAATCGAGCTTGCCCAATAATAGCGACCATAATGCAGTCGTGATAAATACGCCTGTGTGTCCGCTATGGATGTAGTTTCTTACCTCAATAACTTATACTTATCTTAGCGTAACAATTATTGCATATAATAGTCCTGACCCTCACCTGACTTCATGTTCCAAAAATTACGTCAATGCGACTTCACAATAACGAAATAGTGCTTGCCTAATAATAGCGACCATAATGCAATCGTGATAAATACGCCTGTGTGTCCGCTATGGATGTAGTTTCTTATCTCAATAACTTCTAGTTAACTTAGCGAAACAATTTTTGCATATATCATTCCTGACCCTCACCTGACTTTGTCATCCAAAAATTACGTCACTGCAACGTCACAATAACGAAATAACGCTTGCCCAATATTAGCGACGATTACGAGCAATGCCACCTATGGATGTAGTTTTTTACCTCAATAACTTATACTTATCTTAGCGTAACAATTTTTGCATATATCATACCTGACCTTGCCCTGACTTCGTCATCTAAAAATTACGTCAATGCGAATTCACAATAACGAAATAGAGCTTGCCTAATAATAGCGACCATAATGCAATCGTGATAAATACGTCTGTGTGTCCGCTATGGATGTAGTTTCTTACCTCAATAACTTCTAGTTATCTTAGCGTAACAATTTTTGCATATAATATTCATGACCTTCACCTGACTTCGTCATCCAAAAATTACGTCACGGCAACGTCACAATAACGAAATAGAGCTTGCTCAATAATAGCGACGATTACTATTAATGCCACCTATGGATGTAGTTTCTTACCTCAATAACTTATACTTATCTTAGCGTAACAATTATTGCATATATTATTCCTGACCCTCACCTGACTTCATGTTCCAAAAATTACGTCAATGCGACTTCACAATAACGAAATAGAGCTTGCCTAATAATAGCGACCATAATGCAATCGTGATAAATACGTCTGTGTGTCCGCTATGGATGTAGTTTCTTACCTCAATAACTTCTAGTTATCTTAGCGTAACAATTTTTGCATATAATATTCATGACCTTCACCTGACTTCGTCATCCAAAAATTACGTCACGGCAACGTCACAATAACGAAATAGAGCTTGCTCAATAATAGCGACGATTACTATTAATGCCACCTATGGATGTAGTTTCTTACCTCAATAACTTATACTTATCTTAGCGTAACAATTATTGCATATATTATTCCTGACCCTCACCTGACTTCATGTTCCAAAAATTACGTCAATGCGACTTCACAATAACGAAATAGAGCTTGCCTAATAATAGCGACCATAATGCAATCGTGATAAATACGTCTGTGTGTCCGCTATGGATGTAGTTTCTTACCTTAATAACTTCTAGTTAACTTAGCGTAACAATTTTTGCATATAATATTCATGACCTTCACCTGACTTCGTCATCCAATAATTACGTCACTGCAACGTCACAATAACGAAATAGAGCTTGCTCAATATTAGCGACGATTACTATTAATGCCACCTATGGATGTAGTTTCTTACCTCAATAACTTATACTTATCTTAGCGTAACAATTATTGCATATATTATTCCTGACCCTCACCTGACTTCATGTTCCAAAAATTACGTCAATGCGACTTCACAATAATGAAATAGAGCTTGCCTAATAATAGCGACCATAATGCAATCGTGATAAATACGTCTGTGTGTCCGCTATGGATGTAGTTTCTTACCTCAATAACTTCTAGTTAACTTAGCGTAACAATTTTTGCATATAATATTCATGACCTTCACCTGACTTCGTCATCCAAAAATTACGTCACTGCAACGTCACAATAACGAAATAGAGCTTGCTCAATAATAGCGACGTTATTCGTAATGGCACCTATGGATGTAGTTTCCTACCTCAATAACTTCTAGTTAACTTAGCGTAACAATTTTTGCATATATCATTCCTGACCCTCACCTGACTTCGTCATCCAAAAATTACGTCACTGCAACGTCACAATCACGAAATAACGCTTGCCCAATAATAGCGACGATCACTAGTAATGACACCTATGGATGTAGTTTCGTACCTCAATTACCTATAGTTAACTTAGCGTAACAATTTTTGCATATAATATTCCTGACCCTCACCTGACTTCGTCATCAAAAAATTACGCCAATGCGACGTCACAGTAACAAAATAGAGCTGATGACCCGTAATGGCGTCTGCGACTACGTTAACAAACTCAGTGAGGGCAGCGGCCTCCCTACCACACACACATAAGGAGGGACTTGTTATTTTATGTCCAGCCATAGATCATGTATTGGGCTACAATATATTAATATGGCGTTACACGATATCACTCTAAGCAGGGCTTTAGACAAGCAGAAACGGACATATCAATTTACGTTCACATTATATGGGTGTATTTTGTATTGTGCCACCATTTATCAGTGAGGTTTATATTTTAATTTGTTTTTTGTAAACTATACATTTTGGATAAGATAGTCCGGCAGAATCGGGCCTTAACATTGTTTTGGGACATAAAGTTTTTTTGTTGTTGTTTAGATATAATGTATGTGACATATATAATGATACCCAGGTGGGTGTGGAGTAATGTTGAGCAATTTTTTTTAAGTGGATTTAAAGTATTCGGTCCAAGATGACGCACATCCTGAACCCTAACCTGGTAACCATACAGGTTGTGTTCGGGTTGTGCGCCATCTTGGTACAAATACTTCAAGAGCGCCTTTTTGTTAAAAACAATTATTTCATAACTACATGGTTTAGGTTTGCATACATAGTAACATTGAATCTCCTTACAATGTCAGAAATTCAATTTTAGTAGAATAAATGGTAGTTTATTTCACTAATACAAGCCAAGATCCATCGACAGCATCTAGCCACTTTCTATTGCGCTCTTCAAACTACATCTGGCATTTCGTTTTCCTAGTTTAAGCTTAGGGACTTTATATTTAATATACTTTAATATTTTATTAGTTGAATTGGATTGGAATATTTGACCTCGTCTTTCACTCCGAACAAGGCCATGTAATACCATCCACTGGTATCTAAAGATGTGTAACGTGTTTTCTTCT